TTTGCGCCAATTGAATTGTTTTTTGCAGCTGATGACGCGATGCACTAAAGTAAACATTCTAAGTACAGCGCTTTGATCGTAGGTTTTAGAGAACAGCCAATGCTGATCATATCGGTGTAATCGTACGCATCAAATGATTAAAATCGTATTAATTTTTTCTTTCATTACTCAGTGATTCATCCGCGTACCACTAGAAGTAAGCCCGCGTACCACTAGTGGTACCACAGTTTGAGAACCACTGCCTTAAAGAAACTACTAATTATATTGTAATCAACTGATTTTCTTGTGTAGCTTATATACATACTTGTTTAGTTAGTAGTTTAACAGGGCAGTTTTTATCACTGGTAGAACATACATTTTGCTAAAAAAAAATATTAAAATGGTAGAGTAAAATATTTTAACACAACCATATCCATGCATGTTACTTTAACCCGCAGGATAAAAAATAGTGACAATCAGTTAATTTTGTGGGAAAACAAAAGACTTGGCAACCCTGCAGGGTCCCCTACCCTCAGTCCATCATAAAACAACCACCATCCACAATTAAGTCCAATTCCAGATGGTTTTTCCTGTGATTTGTCTGACTAAATATCACATTTCAGGAGTTGAAAGGATTTGGAAATGCCTTTAACAAAGACTTGAGGAAAAACTGAATCACCCAGCAAACTGTTGAACAAGCCGAGTCATGTGCTCATGAATTTAACAGAGAAACAAGCCCAAAGCGGCGTTTCATCTGTCTTTATCTGGCTCAGTTTGTATGTTGTGTTGTGCAGTTTCAGTGATTTCACAACATTTCTGTCAGCAGATCTGTCATATGCTGCTGTGTTTGTGGATTTATCCTGAGGTCTCCATGGAAACATGCTAATAATTACAGTTTTGCCCTCTGGGGACGTCATGCACCCATTTTTTTTTTCTTTCTTTTTTTAATGGGCAGCAGACCAGTGGCGATCGAGGCTTATACTCTACTAGACAAGATAAGACTTGATCAAAGAAAAGAGAAGATTAAAACACCTTTAGCTTAGGGATGGGCATTTCTGATCATTCTTCATTTTGATTAATCCACAGGTTTGAGAAACGAGTAATCAATTAATCTGGGGTGGAGCTTAAGCAAGAGGCGGGGCGTGTGTGCGGCATAGCGACAATTACATAACATTACATTTTTAAATAATATATTAGTGCACATCTTTTAATGCACAAGCTTTTTGCCAGATGGGACAGTATAGTGGGGCTCAACGTAACTTATTAAACATTTGAAACCTTTAACAAAACTAATAGGCAGCAAGTCTTTTGCTGTCATTTCTACTATTAGCTGCGTCATATTCTCTGCCCTACATGTGTCGTATTTCTGTGTGATGGTCAATTCTGAATTTCTTATGCTTGTCTGACTGCTGGTTGTGGCACCGGCATCGTCTCCTTTTTTGTGTTTATGTGCAAGATGGTAACGCATCGAACTCGTTGTGGAGTTGTAGACGAGTGTGGCGCTGCACATCTTACACTTTTTTTTCGTCAAGTTTTTTAAAGTGTTGCCAGACATCGCTTCGCACTTTAAAAGCCATAATCAATCTGCTCTCCGGTCTTGTTTCTAGACCGCAACTTCCTGCAGCCATAATCATTCATTTTCTTGTCGGCTTAGTCCTTTTATTAATCCGGGGTCGCCACAGCAGAATGAACCGCCAACTTATCCAGCAAGTTTTTACGCAGCGGATGCCCTTCCAGCCGCAACCCATCTCTGTGAAACATCCACACACACACTCATACACTACGGACAATTTAGCCTACCCAATTCACCTTGTAAAGCATGTTTTTGGACTGTGGGGGAAACCGGAGCACCCAGGGGAAACCCACGCGAAGGCAGGGAGAACATGCAAACTCTACACAGAAACGCCAACTGAGACGAGGTTCGAACCTGCGACCTTCTTGCTGTGAGGCGACAGCACTACCTACTGCGCCACTGTCTCGCCCGCAGCCATAACCAATCAAATATTAGACTACGGCCCAAATACCAGCATAACAACAATCAGAAAGAATGACAGCAATTTAATTTTAGAGCCAACTGATCATCGTTTTTATGCTCGATCGTCGCTGATGCGTTCGATTAATCGAATACTTGTGCACATTCCTACTTTAGCTAATAGTTATTAATCAAAGAATACTATGTAATGGGGTCATTCATAATGTACTGAATATCTGCAAACAATTATGAGAGTGCAAATGGGGATTGCAAAAAGATTGTTAGGCATAAACTCAAAACAGCAAGTTATTGTTTTAAACTTGTAATCGTATACTCAGAATTGTGAAAACTAAATTGAATTTAGAGATGTAAAGAGATTCATAAGTGAGACTGAAAACAATTGATGATAATGATTCCATTTCACATAAATTCAGTGTTTTTAGAACTTTCAAATATCAAATAATCTTAAAAATATACTATACTGGGTTACTTTAGACCAATTTTGGGAAAATTATGGTCAGAAATAGCCACTGAGTTTATTATTTCAGTTACATTTAAATGGGACCAAATTTATCCCAATGTTTGAGTTTGTCCATATTTGGGTTGAAATACCAGTAGTATAAAGACCTTTTTCCTTTCAGTAAAGGAGTATTAGATTTATAGGTGGGCATTTTAATTCTTATTCACCAAATGTGAGCTCCAAACTTTTTTTTTCTTTCATCATTTGCAATGTTTCCAAATTGCATTGTAATTTTTCATAACAATTTTTTATCTCTGTTTCATATTATTTTCTGTGGCGGTTCATTCCGCTGTGACGGCCCCCTGATAAATAAGGGACTAAACCAGAGTAAAATTAATGGATGAATTATAAAACTATTACTGTAAAGCTGCTTCTGGCCATGACACATTTACCCCTAAATGGTTATAAAAGACGTGTTTAAGGGATTATATGCAGCATCCTTCATTTATTCTCTAAGTGAAGGCAAGATCTTCTCTTAAGGTTCGTATTTAGAGGGAAAATGTGCTCAATGCATTATAAAGCTTGAAGCATTAGAATCGGTGCTCAGTGTCAGCCGATCACCAAGACAAGGAATCAGTACTCTGTATCGGCTGCAAAAATACTGATCGAAGAATCTGTAGCTTTGACCCAACTTGGCTGTCAGAGCAGCAATACTCCCTCTGGCTGTACAAGACTGATTTAGGTCAGTAAATACACCCTTAGGAAAAAGAAGTATACCTAAGTAAAGGTCAAGTATAAAAGTGTACTTTATTTAGCAAGTAAATACGCCCATTAAGATACACTACAGTGACAAAAGCTGAACACTTTGTGAATAAAAAAAAAAGATATAAATGCACATTTTAAGCTTAACGCTTGTACAGTTTAAATAATTGTTCAGTTTTTTTACTGCAGTCATTAAAAGAAACTAATGAACAGCATGACTCCTTAGCTGCGTCCTAAATGGCACACTGTGCACTCATGCACTATGTACTTATGCACTTACACACTCAACAGGATAGTATATGTATGTAGTGTCGTCCCAAATGGCACACTAATGTTTTTTTACTAAGCGAAAATTCAAACCGTTTCCCTGATGACGTTTGACGGTCGCCAAATCAGTGAAATAAACACCAGAATTATCAAACAAAACCTGCCGTGAGTATAACCGCATACACCATAGGGAGGCGCTATAATCACTCTAGTAGGAGAATTTTGCATTCACCATCCAAAATAAATAAAGTTATGAAACATGTGCGCCCGATAGCTCCGCCCCTTCCGCTACGTGAGCAAACCTGTGGTCGTTGAGTGCGTGAAGTGTCCATCATTACACACTTCATTTTAGCGGCTGAATGAGTGCATCATCCGGGTATTTAAAGTGCACTTATTATGTTTAGAGTTTTCAGTGTGAACACACTACTTACACTATCTATACTACAAAATGGCGTAGAATAGTGCATAAGTATGCGATTTGGGACGCAGCTCTTGTGTCCGTGTCAGTCTAAACAGCCGGGCCGCACCACGCATTAGTATTATTCTTATTAACAATAATACTAATATTTTAGCATTTAATTAAATGTGTTGCTCATGGTTAATTGTAAAGTTTGTAATTTGCACGTTTTTCTAATTACAAAATGTATACTTAAGGTAATGTGTTGTGAAGAAAGAAGCAGCTTTTTCTTACAGCAGCTTTTTCTTCATTGTTGCATTACTTCACTGTAAAAAATGCTGGATTCCACACAATTCCTTCATGTTGTCCCAACACAAATTGATTAATTTAAAGAGCCCATATTATGGGTTTTTGAAAATTCCCCTCCATGTAGTGTGTAACACAGCTCTAAGTGAAGTGAAGTATCCAGCTAAGGCTTAAATCTGTAAGAGTACAGTGTTTAAAACGGTTGATTCATCTATAAAAGAGTCGACTCATAGTGCTTCAAACGAGTCGCCTTGATACCGAGTCATTAGGTGTTTCGCCATGACGTACGAACGAAACCAAGTTATTCACGTGCACGCGCAAACCCGGGAGATTTCAAACCTGAGGCCCGCCCTCTGACGCAGAAACCCAGACACACACACACAAACACACGCACACAAACATGCCGGTCGATTGAAGTCACACTGCAGATGGATATTATATTGAGTCTCTACCCAAAGATGAAACATCAGCATTATAACCAAGCAGTTGGAAACTTCTGGAAGCTACATGCTACAAAGAATACTTCATCTGCGTTTGTTAAAGGAAGGATCAGTAAAGAGTAACTTACTGATGGACGTCAGGATGGGTTTCTTCCATTTCTCAAGTGTAAGTACGTGCGGTTAAAGTTGTTGCCTCGTTGACTCTAGCTTGCAAATGTATTTAGTTGTGATTTGTTACTTGTAACCGAGTGTACTGTATCAGGTTAACTGGCTATATTCTCTTATCGCGTGCAAAGCCACGTTAAAAACGCGACGCGTGCTGCTTTGTTTATGGAGCTCCATGGTAGAGTTCTGCATTCCCGCGGCATTCCCCGCGCCAGATTTCTGCGGCGCGGGAATAAATTTCCGAATAAATCGCGGGAGCGGTTGGTAACGGGTTTAATTTGGGACAGGAGCGGGCTGTCTAGCAATATCACGGATATTGCTATGCGAATGAGAAAGAGAGAGTCTGCTTGGTGCTTGTGTGTGTGTGTGTGTGTGTGTGTGTGTGTGTGTGTGTTAGTGCGCACGCGCGCGTATGAGAGAGAGAGAGAGCGAGAGCGAGCTTTGTGTGCTTGGTGCTGTGTGTGTGTTTATACAGACAGCTTGGCTGTCTGGACTGTATAGCTGGGTGATTTTGGTTGTGTTCTCCCCCGCTCTAGCGGGGTCGGGCGCGGCGGGCAGAAAACGGAGCGGGTTCTCAGGCTAAAACCTGGCGGGTGCGGGCGGAAGCGGGAGCGTTGTCGTCCGGAGGTGTGTGTGTGTGTTTTTGTGTGTGTGTGGCAGCTAAAATCCACGCCTACACTATCGAGCGTGTATGAACTGTGATTACTTTTTATATTGCTGATTAGCTATTGGCCATTTCACTCTCTGACTGAAGGCAGTCGACCAATCGCGACAGACTGTCATCGGTCCAATCAGCGCAGATTAGCTTCGCGCTAAGGAGGGGTTTGGGAACAAATGAATCACTGGACGATTCATACAGGAGTCGCTGGCATAATTAGGTAAAAATAAATGCAGATTATAAGACCATGAAAGTGTTTTTTGACCCTGCATGCATATTAGACTGTTGTTGGAGACCCTTACAACCAAGATATGACCCTATTTCATGTATAATATGGGCTCTTTAACTTAATTGTTCAACATAACAATTAAGTTGCCCTCCTAAAAGAACTCAAGAATTGTGATGATTCATCTTATTTTAAATAAGTAGTTTAAACAAACAGCAAACAGTGTTAAAAGTAAAAAGTGTAATATATATATTTTTTTTGCGAATTAAGGGATGTTTTTGAGAAGTTAGCGATTCTAATACTTCAAGCTTTATAATCCATCACTGCTTTCTCATGTGATACTTAAAAATGCGGTAAAATGATGGAAAACCCAGCTAGTGTGTTTGACAGAGCGAGTCTGTGCATGTGGAATGTGTGCGTGTGTGAACAGCATTCAGTGTATGTGCTTTCTGTGTCATGAGGAGTCAAACTCTCACACTCTCGTCAGATCTCACACTGCGTTTCTCCTTCTCACACACTGCCTTTATGTCTTCATCCATTTCTATTGCCATTCAGAGCCATTGATTGTTTTATAAAGGATCTATTTTCTCAGGTCAGGAGTAGTAAAGTGGTTTTATGGAGGAATTCATGTAATGAAGTCTTTCATTTACTCTCTTTAATGTGGTTGTAAACCGGTTATGTCTTGTCTTGTCATTTTGAATTATGAAGCAGCATATCTGAGAGATTTCCAGGAAAAGATGACTTAGTTGATAGTCAATAGTCAAACCGAGAGTGAGAAAAAAAGATGGTCCTTAAAGTACCTGTGAATTCACATTATTACACGGCTCTCTGAGTAATTAATTCACGACATTCTGTTAATTGGATAACAGCCACTGAAATAAATAACACAGGCTTATCTTTCATCGTAATTGTTAGTGAATACGTTCACATCCATGTTTACATATGAATTATTAGCCCTTCTGACCTTCCGATCTGACCCCCTTAGACTTTTATCTTTGGGGTCATCTGAAGGCAAGTGTCTATGGTGTGAGGATACAAGATGTGCAGCACCTGAAACTACGGATAAGTGGTCAGAAACTTGTAAATAAATCGTGAAAGAATAAAGTTACTTCAAAACCAAGCACACCATTGTTTTCCTTGTCAAATTCCCAATAAGTTTGATATGTCAAATGACCCTCTTCCTATTGAAAAAACAAGATGGCTGACTTCAAAATGGCCACCACCCATCTTGAAAAGTTTGCCCCCTCACATATACTAATGTGCCACAAACAGGACATTATTATCACCAACCGTTCCGATTTTATCAAGGGGTATTCATATAAATGGCCCACCCTGTATACTTTAATTGCATTTAACCTGCGAATTAGAATAGAAACTGTGTAAAAAGCCCACAATGATGCTAGCATTTAGCACAAGTCAACACATTTCTCCTTTCTGGCTGTTGGGTTAAATCTTATTGCACAACAGTTATCCTACAGTTTCTCTAATGGTGTGACGAGTCCGACACGTGAAAACTATCAATGAATGAGTGCTGTACCTGCTGTAGTGTTTGTGTGCGGCGTGGACTCAGTGCTGGTGTTGTTAACAGGAGGCTGTGTCTGATTACTGAAGTCCATCTCCATCGTCTGCAGAACTGAGGTCATGTTGACTTCAGACACGCCGTCTTTCCTCTTCACAGATAAATGAGATGAAGCTGCAGACGACATGCAGACATGATCATGCGAAGAGTCAAATCAGGACACAGATTATCCAAGCTAGCTAGCTAACTTTCATATATTTAAAGCTATCTGCTCATTTCAATGAACAAAAGAGGGTATTATCATGAATTAAAAATGAGGTGATTTTTTTAACGGAGCTCAGATCTGCTTCATAATCGCACAAAACCAGACAAATATTCATAATTAATTCTGTCATTATATTAGGAGGTATTGCCGTGTGTTTGTCTGACTGATTGATGGAGGAGGCGTTTTAAGAAAAGTCTTTTTTTTTTTTTTGCAGTTGGTGATTCAGAAAAATAGTATTTATAGCGATAGTTTAGCCTGATTTCACGAGGAAACGTTAGTATTTTACGTTTTACTGATTCATACAAATTCATACAAGTTTAGTCGTACGAAAATATGTACGCTTTTAAAAAGGAGGTGTAGCACCCAATCCCGGCCCTAAACCCAACCGTCATTGGGGGATGAGCAAATCATTCTTAATTGTAGGAATGAGATTGGTATAACAATTGGCCACTAAATTAAAAAGTTTGGGTGATAGTTCACCCAAAGATGAAAATTCTGTCATCATTTATTCCACCTTCAGTTGTTTAATACCTATTTGAGTTTGTTTCTTCTGTTATATTATTTTATTTTTCAGGTAGTTTTAATAAAGCTGGCACCCATTGACTTCCATATGTAATGTAATGTAATGTAATGTGTATTTATATAGCGCATTTATTGTGTATGGCCATACACCCAAAGCGCTTCACAATCATGAGGGGGGTCTCTCCACACCACCACCAGTGTGCAGCATCCACTTGGATGATGCGACGGCTGCCACAGGACAACGGCGCCAGTGCGCTCACCACACACCAGCTATTGGTGGAGTGGAGAGACAGTGATAGAGCCAATTCAGTGGACGGGGATGATTGGGAGGCCATGATCGTATGGGCCGATAGAGGGACTTTGGCCAGGACACCGGGGTTACACCCCTGCTCTTTCACGAGAAGTGCCATGGGATTTTTAATGACCACAGAGAGTCAGGACCTCGGTTTAACATCTCATCCGAAAGACGGCGCCCACTGACAGTGTAGTGTCCCCTTCACTTTTACTGGGGCATTAGGACTCACACAGACCACAGGTTGAGCGCCCCCTTCTGGCCTCACTAACACCACTTCCAACAGCAACCTAGTGTTCCCTAGTGGTCTCCCATCCAGGTACTAACCAGGCTCAGCCCTGCTTAGCTTTAGTGAGTAACCGGTCTTGGGCTGCAGGGTAATATGGCTGTGGCCATAGTAATTGTTTTCTAAATTGGAAACTAATGGCTTCTTTTGTGTTAAACAGAAGAAGGAACTGATTTAAAGCCACATCAGGAAGAGTAAGTAATGAGGTCATTTTCATTTTTGAGTTAACTATCCCTTGAAAGATTCAAGAAACCCTCGAGTACTTAATTTATTTATTTTTTTTAACAGATTTGTGTGTGTTGAGCATCAGTTAAGACATTGTTTTCCCCTCTCAGCTTTAATTGTGGGGAAAACTGGATAATTTTGAGTTTTTGTCAGCTAATTTCATCTTCCAGGTTTTAAAACATTTTTGGGGCGGGATCAAAATCTATGACCTAGCACAAAACTGCTAGTGGGGTGATGATGCGTCGGTTTCTCATTATTATTCATAGCTGAGTTTTCTTATCCTATGAGAAGAGCCGTCTTCTTAATAATTATTTTTTGGGGGTTTTCACCTTTTAATGACAGAACAGTGGAGATTTACAGACAGGAAAGTTTGGGGAGCAGAACAAGGTGCTATACAAATAAACTGAACTGAATTGAATTATTATTAGTAATTTTTATTTACTTCAAAATTCTGTACGATGATGTGGCGAGTCGGCGCAATATAATAAGTATTTGTTTTGTGTCTAGAATTTAAAAAATGTTTGACTTGATAAATGTTCTGATTTGTTCTGCTTTTCTTTCTCTCGTCTGTCAGCAGGCTGTTTTCTTATCAGTTATTCTTCTATTTTCATCTTCTCACCTTCTGCACTGATTAGAGTCTGCTCTGCGATTCCAGTCGGCCTTAGTCTAACAGACGGGCTTTAATATATCCAGGACATTTTTCATTTTCTCACACACACACATCTACACTTTACACAAATGCATAAATATACACACAAACACTCACCCACACACATACATACACAAACTCTCACACAAACACACACATTCACTCATATATACTCGTACGCCACAGTCCAAAGACATGCGGTACAGGTGAATTGAATAGGCTAAATTGGTCGTAGTGTATGTGAGTGTGTGCAAAAGTGTGTGGGTGGTTCCCAGTAATGGGTTGCGGATGGAAGGGCACCCGCTGTGTAAAACGTGCTGATAAGTTGGCGGTTTATTCCGCTGTGGCGACCCCTGATTAATAAAAGAATTAAGCTGAAAAGAAAATGAATGAATGAATATATTTAGTACACAGACATCTATCTGTCTGTCTGTCTGTCTGCCTGTCTGTCTGTCTGCCTGTCTGTCTGTCTGTCTGCCTGTCTGTCTGCCTGTCTGTCTGCCTGTCTGTCTGCCTGCCTGTCTGTCTGTCTACCTGTCTGTCTGTCTATACAGCAGCATCACCGTGGGAGAGGGGGGATGGGGTGTTTGGCCGGATCTAAGGGCCCACA